CAACTCCCCATCAATCAGACTCTCAGAAACCTCTTTACAACTTTACAACCATTATAACTTTGCTGAAGCACAGCCTTTTACTGAATGTACTGAAAGAATCAAGACTGTCAGACAATATATACCCCAAATGATTCCTGGTTTCTAACTGGTTTTGTATTATTATTCTGTGCGCAATTGGCTGCCGCGTTCGCCCACAAATATACAGTCAATTCACTTTACAGTGTGTTCTGTGAAGCGCTTTGGGACGTCCTCCTGACGTGAAAAGCGCTATATCAAATGCAAGGATTATTATTATTATTATTATTATCTTGCTGTCTTTTCAACCACATCCAGTTTTATTCTCCACATCGCATTGTTCGAGACTCTCCTTTAGGTTATGTTTGGTTGCTTGCAACTCTAATTGAATCGCTTGCCAGTCTAGCTGGCCTCCATTTTTTTCCCTAAATCTTGTCTAGTTTGTTTAATTTAGTCTCCTTTGTTCAGGTTTGCTCCTGATATGCTTTGACTGAAATCTGAAGTGAAATATCAGAAATTTTTGCTGAAGGGGATGGAAGAGGCTATAATTGGACCATACAACGTCTATTCTCTTGCCTCGGAGTCAGAAAACTGTGGGTTCAAGCCCTATATCAGGAATTAGTCTAAGCTGACACTCCAAAGCAGCGTTGGGGGTGGGTGGGCTGCATTGTCAGATGTACAATCTTTCGGATGAGACGTTAAACTAAGATCCCATCAGCCTGCTCAAGATGGTGGTTAAAGATCCCATGGGCACAATTAGAAAAGAGAAGGGAGTTTCTCTTGGTGCCCTGGCCAACAGACACCCAAATAAAATTGGTCACCAGTTTCATGGCTGCTTGCGGGACATTGCTGTGCACAACTGTGCTGCTGCTCACAACTGCACAACTGTGCTGCTGCGTTTGCTCACAAATACACAAGTCACTCCAATTCACAGTAAATCCGGTGAAGCACTTTTGAGACTTCCATACTTCCGACGCGATAAGGCAAAATGCAAGAAATTATTACTATATTATTATTCCTTAAACCCCACCAACAGGCCAAATTAGGAATAAGCTTCATTGCTGCTTCATCTCCTGGTGAAGCCAGCATGTAGTGACATGCTCCACCCACCTGGAAGCTAAACTGAAAATCTATATAAATATAAAAATGTAGCAGAAAAAGAACACATCCTACTTGTGACTGTCACTGAAACCAACATCATTACCATCAGTTGGATAAGCACATACATTATTGAAAAAAACACATTTGCAAACAGATCTGATAGACTTTGTGTCCGCGTTTAAAAACGAAAGACGATCGATCATGTCTTGCTTAAAGCCATGCTCTATTGCGAAGGGACAAATGAAAGTTTAAAACTCAAGAGTTAACAATTCTGTAACGTTTCTAAAGACTTAATATTCATTCAGCACAAGCACATTGATTTTGACCGGAAAGACATTGATAATTTTAAATAACCCAAAATGCTAATATAGTTGTGTTAAACAAAAATACACTGGAACAGATTAGTTGCCAGTGAGCAGCAATTAATCCAAAAATAAGACATTTGACGATTATCCAAACTGATTCAATTCCTTGCAGTCTAATTCACTTGCTAAAAATATCTGTAACATATGAATGGATACACTGTGACTAATCAATCCAATAACGCTCAACAATATCCCTTTTTACTGATTGCCGCACAATAGGTCAGAGTAAGAGTTGGCCAATGTATCTACTTAATAGGCAAAGTTTGCTTTATTGAGTAGGGAAACAAACTAATGTTATTAAGCAAGAAAATAGAGGTACAAAATAGAATTGCCAATTGTGTGTGTGTGTGTGCGCGGTGTGTGTGTGTGGGGTGGCGGGGTGGGGGGGAAAGAGAGGAGAAAGAGTTCCACACCAAATCTCTGGACCCTAAATCCAAGAAAAATGCCTGGGATTTAAATAGCTCAGTAATTTCTTACCAAAAGAGTTGGGAGTGGGGGGAAAGATTTATGCCTCCATTGGCTTTAACTAGCACCAAGGAGACATCTGGTAAATCTAGGCAGCATTACAGAAATTCAAGACCAGTCTGTTTGGTTTATTGATGAGATTTTGAGTATATAGATACTTCAATGCCAAAGCCTTAAAAGATATGGCAGTCCTAGTTGCGCATTCCTTTTGTGGAGAGAGGCAACAAAAAGTAAACCTATCTAGACTGTCTGTCCACTTTGAAAATGAACTAAGATCTTACCTTGCTCAAATAGGGAAGAATAAACTTACTTCTGCAAGACATCAGGAATGACTGTTGGGATCAGACCCGAGAGAATGCAGTAAAGCCTTTCAATTGGGATTTAAAATCTTTAGACAGCGTTTCTCGAGAACTAACTGAGGGAAATAGATGTCGGGTGAGGATGGGATTTTTTGGGGGGAGGGGTTGGGGGGGGGGGGGAAGGGAAAGAACAGGGCAAATGAATGCACCTCTATCTTCATGTAGGACATGAACACTAATTATGGCAAACTCACAAAAGGAAATTGGAGATAGATTGCAGTACTTCAATGGAAACAACTGTGACGAAGCCCTACTGTATTGTCAGCACTCAACACTGAAGTACTATGACGTTGGCTTACTCCCATTTGATTTCTTGCCCAAATCAAACTGGAGTGTTTCCTGGCATACAAACCTTACTGGAGGCAAAACCCATCTGGATAAGGCTACAATAGCACTTCTGCTTACAGCAATATTGGGGCACTACAGCAAAAGGTCCCACAAGCAGCCACGAAGGAGCCATGAATGGAGGATTGTTGGCCAGGGCACTGGGAACTTTCTCTGAATATTGTCATAAGATTTTTAACATCAACTGAACAATCAGGTGTACAGGACCTGGCCTACATCTTGTCCAAAGGATGGCACCTCCAACAATGCAGTACACCCCACAACGACACTGAAGTGTCAGCCCTGAACATGAGCTGAAGTAGGGAGTGAACCCATAACTTTGTAACACATACACACGAAACCTACCAACTGAGCCAAGCCAACACCACAATGCATGAAACATGAGAGGAGAACTGAAGGGAACCCAAATCATATGGCTACATCAACCATACTTTCCCAATTTATCCTAGGAAAAATCAGTTCAAAAGGTCCCACCTTTATCTAAACAAAACTCCGAAGCAAAATCCCAGAGGATAAGTTTAAGAACTAGATAGCTGTGAAACTATTACGGAGTGCATGATATCTACTGCCGCTCCCCNACCCCCCGCGAATACAAACGCTTTTCCACATCATTAGCAACAAACTGCTCAGTTATAACCTATGGTGGGTCTTGATGAACTCTCCATTTTATTTGATTGCTATTTCCATGAAGCATCAGACATTTCACCCTTGGTGCACAGTTTAAAAGCTCTGTTCCATTACTGCAAAATATTGGATAATAATGTTCATAAAAGGAATGAAACAGCTATATTCCTGCACTTGACTATTCCTTGAACAAATGCTTCTTCTTAGCAATGTGAAGACAGCAGCCTTTTCCTGGTTCTGCCTCACTGTCCAAATAGGCACAGCAAAACATTATTTCATGGCTGAAATGACAGAGCTCCAGAAAGGAACAAAATGTTGGCATTTGCAAAGTTTTGATCACATTAAAACAGCAGGTCAACGTAACCTTGTCTTGTGCGTTTTTTAAAAGAAAAGAAAAACACATGTATAAAATATCCTAGCTCTTAATCAACATCGATGGGGGGAAAAAATAAATCCCGTAAATGGCCCCATAATGTTTGTTCCAAGAAACAATATGGGTTTTGATTTCTTTTTTATACCAAGTTTGTATTTCAGATTGGCTCAGAAACACATGTTATGTTAAGGACGCTATCTTTCACCCACAAAATATAGTTAATTCACTTTACAGTATATTCTCTGAAGCGCTTTGAGACATCTCGAAGACGTGATAAGACGCGATATCGAATCCAAGGATTATTATTATTATCTAAAAGCAGTTATTTTGGAGTGAATCTGACAACTTTAAGGAGTCTTCTCGCTCTTTCTATTCCTCCCTCCTCTCCCCCACCCACCCACACACAGACTGACAGAAAACTCTCCTTTTCCCCATATTTCACACTGTAGAGTGCCATGTAAATACCGAGCTTCTCATTTAACAGAGAGCCTTTGAAAAGCTCTAACTCTAGGTATCAAAGCACACTGGTGAAAATGTGACCTCACTGCACTGCCATCTTTACTGTAACACCTCTAGCTGACATTGCAATGAGTTGAATTACTGTTACCTAATCCGCTACAAGGAAGACAAATTAGTTGCACTGTAAGTAATGTACCAAGATGTTTTCAAAACAAAATAAAGTTCAGAAACAAGAGAAATAAGCATTTTAGGTGGGATTTCTCAATAGTTATCGTGAAAAGCCTGCAATATTTCTCCAAAATAAATTAAATAACTGGGCTGTCCTTGCAGCTGTTTTCATTAAAAGGGCATTTTAAGGTAGTGTTCATAAATGGCTTCAATAAAGGGGGGAGAGGACAGCGAAAAAGGAAGGGAACAGAGAAGAGGAAATGTTTAAAAGACAACCCACTGAGGGCTAGTATACTTGTGTAACCTCAGTCCTAATTATCTCTGCTTTCAGCAGAACTCAGACTAGAAGTGTGAAGAGGATATTCCTCTTCAGGATATTCAGGAGGCCAGCTGCCTGCTGATGATCTTTATTTATAATTACAGATAGGGCTGCCCATTATTCAGATGAACATCATTGCATCCTGGAGGGCAGGAAATCATGGAACAGAAAAGCTAGGAACAATTGTGCTAACAATTTTACTCATCAGGAACACAAGTCGAATGATTCACTTGAACATGGATTGGATCTGAAAATTATTTTGCTTCAAACCCATTTTGCAGCAGCAATGAGAAATGTGAAAAGAAATGTTTGCCAAAAAAACTCTAAAACTGGAAAAAACGTGTAGAGTTTACAGTTTATATAGGAGTTTTTTTTGTGTGTGTTACAAAACAAAGAGGAGGACTTACGTTTAGACTCGGAGACATTTTGATTTGGCGACCAGACCAGCATTCCAAGGTTCTCCCTTTCTTGAGAATGTTTTGCAACTTCTGTACAGGGAAGAAAAACGTGTTTAAAATTATTGCTGGGCACAAAAATTGGCTGCTGCATTCACTTACAATCACTGCACTGTATAGTAAATCCCTGTGAAGCGCACTGAGACATCCTCCTGGCATGAAAGGCAATGCATCAAATGCAAGGATAAGCGTTTTTACGACCAGAGGTATGGAAAATAACTGGCGGTATCATTGCAAAAAAAACAAAAGCATAATAAAGCAACATGGCAGGATCAGAGATTGAATAGAACAAGTTGACAAGAGGGTGTTTTAGGCCAGGACACAGGATTCATTAAAAAAAAAGCCTGGGAAGATCGTAAGGTTGAAAGGATGAGAAAAAATAGGCCAAAGAGCCTTCTTCATCCAAACCGATGTTGTGATCAGTTATAAAGATATTGATTAACACAAGCTTTGTGGAAAAAAAGCTTATACGTCTTTAAAAAAAAATCGATTCCCTTTTCATTTAATTGAGAGAAGTTAACCAGTCCACCAACCATCATAGTTTCCTTTCAACCAGTCTTGCATGAAACAGCAGGAATGAAATGCTCCATTCTAGATTCCATCTATCTTTTCCCCCTTCACAACAGTCATTGCGATGTTATTGTGGTCATATTGTTGTTAATTGACCCATTTCTAACTTAGCCTGAGTACACGCATCTCTGAATAGCTTTCGACTAGGTTGACATTAATGCAATATTGTAAGTGCAATGGTACCTTCCACAAGCTTTCACTCTTGTGAAAGGATAGGCTTTGCAGGAATATATGCACATCACAAAACATCAAAAACTAAGCAATCCTACATGCAAATACCCCCAAAACAAACACTGACTGCACCTTTAGAAGCAGAGGCATCAGATTCCCAATTAGGAAATTAGTCACATATACAAAAAAAACAATGGTTTTGTCACTAGGATTCTGAAAAATGCAATAGTGAGCATGTGAAATGTTTGTACTCTGAAAACAACAGCCAGCACAATCACAGATATAATAATAATAATAATCCTTGCATTTGAAATAGCGCTTTTCACGTCTTCTAGACATCCCAAAGTGCTTCACAGAATATACTGTAAAGTGAACTGACTGTATATTTGTGGGCGAACGCAGCAGCCAATTGCACACAGCAATGTCCCACAAACAGTCATAGATTGAAAATGACCAATTTATTATTGTTTTGTTTTGGAGGGATTATTATTAGGCTCTGTGTGGAGTAAGGACACTTGCCCAAGGTTTCGCCCTCTGCCTGGAATTGAACTCAGGTCTCTCACTTGCAAAGCGAGTGCTCTAACCACTGAGGTACAGGACTCCAGATCTTCCGCTTCTAAACTGGTTAACATTTTCAGCGTGCGATTGCCATACTGGGGACAGCAGTGGTGAGAGAAACGTAAGCTGCTGAGCTTTGAACAGCATTAACATCGCTGAGTTTGCTGATTGTAACCAGGGCAGCAGCAGTAGAGCTGGAGAAGGGAACAAGGTTCCTTTGTTGGGTTGCAATCCAGTGACACCTGCTGGTCAGTTGTCTGCTGTCTGTTTGTGGACATCAGACAAGGACAGTGCAAAGTTGAACAGCTTGCCAAAACCACTCAATACATCATCTCAACTCACATGAAGAATGCCACTCGGGCAGAGCCCTGAAAAGCATCTGTCCTGAGTGGTACCTTATCCACGAGCACATCAGTAGGTGTGGGAAGAAATGTAGAGGAGGAGACGAAAGCAAAGACAAGTGCCTCAAGAAAAAAAAGTATTGGATTAACAAAACATTTTGCATCATTGTACCATTGTACCAGAGAGTCAGGCTCCACCACTGTTAAGCACTCAAAGACACTACCCTGCATGGAGGTGCAAGTGCAAGTTGTTGTTGTGTTAAAAAGCCTAATGATATAATTGTCCTCTTACAATCCCTGACCTTTCTGTAGTACACAATGTACTGAAGATCAAAATATTTTTCAAAAGTGAATGCAATAAATAGAGTGGAAATAATTTAACATCCAGGTCCCTTCCCTCCTTCTACGTAGAAAGTGAAAATCAGGCTCTAGGCATTGAGCTTCCCACATGAAGTCAAGTCTGTTGACTACAGCATATTCTGTGAAGCGCTTTGAGACGTCTCGAAGACGTGATACGGCACTGTATCAAATGCAAATAGAAGACATACAGGATCTGTCCTGGCTATAAGAATACTTTGTGTTGGCAACAAATCCCCCAAAAAATTTACTGTGAAGTTCAACCCAATCAATATCAATCCTTGAACGTGAAACAATGTGAAAGCAGTTTCCAAAACAAGATTTGCCTATCCCACTGTTCAAATCAAATGTCATGCAAACAAGAAGAAACATAGTGGAATAATTTGATGGCCAAAAAAGACGTTTTACAAAGCCAAAGGCAGTCAACATCTAACTACTCTGGAATGTTCGATCAGAATATTGTGGTGAGTTTCATTAAAACTTTTGCCACAACAATGATGCTGAAGAAGATTTTTTTTAAATAAATGATATGCACAATTTCCCCACAAGCTATTAAGTTTTAAGACAAGCTAGAGTGTTACATAAAAGTGATACAACACAGGCCACCATTTGACCAACTAGTCTGTGTTGGTATCTACACTCCACAAGAGTCTTCAGGCTTTCTAGACCCTTCTATTCCCTTCTCCCTCATACACATCAAGTTTTCTCTGAAATACAATGATGCTTATTTGCTCCAACCACAGCCCCGCAGCAAATCCCATATTCTCACCACCCTCGGCATGAAGATGTTCCATCTAAGCTGTATTAGATCTACCACTAGCTCTCTGGGAATTATTATGCCTTATATTTAGTTCATTCCCTGCTATCCCTCCATACCTGGACCCAGCTGGAGAGGACAAGATTACATCAAAAGCTGCAGCAAACATTTTATCCACCTCCGCTGGAATGGTTAATACAAAAACAAAGGAAACAACAACAACAAAATAACATTTGTAAAGGATCTTTCACGTCGGGAGGATGTCCCAAGGCCCTATCCCAAGCAACACAGGAAGCGTGCAACTCGCGCCTAAATGAATCCTTACCCTGTTGCCTTCTAATGCAGACCTTTCCACCTTTAATATCAAGAGCCATTCGAGGATGTATCCCAATAACATTTAAGCATCACCTGCCTTGAAAAACAGCGCCAAAATTCACGAACGCAAATTAAAGTTCTCCCCACGCCCATCCTATACACACACCCAGCAACACCACATTCACAAAGCCTTCATTGAGCCCCACAGGTTAATTCCCAAAACACAGATGAAAACTTACAAATTCTGGTGCAATCTATGCACACAATAAAAGGGGACTAGCCTCAAACACATCTGCCAAATGTGTCTAAGGATTCCAAAAAGAACAGGGTTTAAGTTTGCCTCTCTGAATGGCAAGAGTTTGTATTACACAGCGTACCTCTTTAATAATGCACGCAAGCAGGAAACTTAGAGCCTGTTTCCAGTAATTCCTGATAGCAAATTGCCATTTGCTGAAGAACAAGAGGTAGGAAACTAAAATATCCAACATATGTTTGGATTTTACCAAACCTCCATTTCAAACCTCCACAAAATCCTAAAGTCGTGTTCCAGGTTGCTCATACGGTTTTTCCAAAAGTACTAATACTGTTGCAATAGCCAATCTTTCTGTGCAATGATTTGTCAACGTGAAATGTTGGGTGGAGTTTCATTTGCCTTGCCTTGCACAAACAAATACTACAATAATTCTTAACTTAATGTATTGCCATGTACACGACCAGTTAAGGATATCCAGTAGAGTGTTTTTCACAGTGCTGCTCTCTCAGCCTCACCATGTAGTCAAGGTCAACAGAGTTATTTTGGACTCTTTGCTTTCCAAGGAATGTTTTTGACATACAATTGGTTGGACGGTTTAAGCAGAGTTCAAGACTTGAGAGAAGCTGCAAAAGAATTATGATGAGGTTCGCCATTCTTTACTTCTATCTTTTTATAAAAAAACTCTTGCCGATAGCCTGATAGGAACATCAAGGTGGCCAAACAATGCTGTTTCCAAACACTCTTTTGCCCCCACACAGACAATATTAAGAGATAACGTTCGGAGAATGAATTCTTCCAATTTTACATGAAGAGCAACATGGTCACCCACAACCCACCAGATACGAACGATAATTAATCCCTCGTGGGAACCAAATCCACAGATAAGCACTGTGAAAATGGATTCAAATATCCGACGAAGCTCGGCGTATTATGAAAAGGCTTTGAGCAGCACAGCAAATGCAAATAAAATTCTAAGCAGCAGGTTGAGGCCACAATTGGACAATTCAGTAGAGATATCTCAGAAACGAGTTGAAGTACCGCAAAGTGTAAGTGCAACATTGTGCAACATCATCGACTGTGGAGATACAATGTTGGCCCTGTTATTCCAATGTTATTCCAGCACCAGAACGGGAGGTCACAAAAGACCTCCCTCCCCACTCACTCTCTAGGATGATTTTCATCCAGCAGGACGCGCACAGCCTGCTGCATTTCCTGGTTTTCAAGAGAGCAGGTAAAAGGCTAAACATAGAAATAGGCCAGCCAAAAAGGTAATAAATTGGACAAAAGGAGCACTGAAGGAATAATAATATTATAATAATAATCCTTGCATTTGATATAGCGCTTTTCACGTCGGGAGGACGTCCCAAAGCGCTTCACAGAACACACTGTAAAGTGAATTGACTGTATATTTGTGGGCGAACGCGGCAGCCAATTGCGCACAGCAATGTCCCACAAACAGTCGTAGATTGAAAATGACCAATTTATTATTGTTTTTGGTTTTGGAGGGATTATTATTAGGCTCTGTGTGGAGTAAGGAAACTTGCTCAAGGTTTCGCCCTCTGCCTGGAATTGAACTCAGGTCTCTCGCTTGCAAAGCGAGTGCTCTAACCACTGAGCTACAGGACTCCCAAGTCTGGAAGTAGGAATCCGTGGTGTAGAGGTATAATCTCAACTGTGCTGAAGGATGAGAAAATAAACCTCTAATAAGCAA